TGTGAGTTCTTGATACATTATAGGCTTGGTCACGGTGTATGCTTGAATCCCCACCTCTATTTTAGCCCCGAGCTTCCCACGAATCAATCATTCATCTATGCACCATTGGAGGAAGGTTTCGAGTTTATTTGGTATTCCGATTGGAATGATCCCTTAGGATTAGCCAACACTTGTTTTCTTGCATTTTTATTAAGAACAAAACTCACCAAAACCAAATACAAGATTTTACACTTTCCTTTTTCACAAAATCACCTTCACCATACTTGAACTTCCTTTCCCTGAGGAGACAACCTTAGAATACTTTTCCAAGTAAAACAATGACACACAAAAGACTCCTTGCGCTTGGGCAACACTTTTGTTCACATACACATTTCATTCCACACACATATTTTGTTCATTTAATTTCATTCCATTCACCATTCCATTGCCTCATCTCTTGCATCTTTTCGCGGAAGAGTGACACTCCCTGATACACATAAGCCATAGACACATTAAGGGATGATATTTAGAGGTTAGGAACAACCACAAAAATTATCAAGCAGCTGTCGTAGTAGAGGCTTGTAAGGAGACTACATAGGCTGAGCTACATATAGTCTCGGGAGATGGATTCCGTGGTAGAGGCTTACAAGGTGACTACATGCACAAGAGTAAAGTCATAGGCCGAGCTACGTATAGTCTTCAGAGATGGCTGCCGTAGCAGAGGCTTATTAGGTGACTACTTGCGCGAGAGCAAAATAATAGGTCGAGCTACATATAGTCTCGGGAGATGGCTATTGTGGAAGAGACTTACTAGGTGGCTACTTGAGTGAGAGCAGAGTCATAGGCTGAGCTACGTATGTTCTCGAGAGATGGCTGTCGTGGCAGAGGCTTACAAGGTGACTACATGCACGAGAGCAGAGTCATAGGCCGTGCTACGTATAGTCTCGAGAGATGACTACGATTATTGGCCTTATTTCATGATTTTTAACTTAAATTTTCATATTAATTATTTAGAATTAGTTAAAGTTAGAAATAATGTGAAAATTTTGATGTTGCAGGTAATTATAGCACAAATGATGGCTTTTAGAGCTTTGCAACTAAGTGTGAATGAGGATAAGGAGGCTTGGAAGGTGACGAAACCAAGAAAAATACAATTTGGATAAAAATATTCTAGAAGGTTTGGCCATAAACCTTCCGGAAGGTTTAGCCCACTAGTTTCCCAAGGTCTTGACACAGTACCATTGTTTTTCCCATGTTTGACCATGATCCACTTTGAATCTGAAAAAGTTCAAAACCTAAAAGTTGTAGATCTGGATGTCTTCGGTATTGTGTTAAAAATTTAGCTCAATCCAACGGTTGGATCAATGGTGATGGAAATGTTGGTAAAAGTGGTCTTGAGCTGGCACCTTCTAAAAGACCTTCCGGAAGGTTTTGCCTATTGGACTCGACCTTTCGGAAGGTTTTGCGCAGAATGCGCTAAATGCCTGCAACTCATACTCCACTTGCTTGGGGGTCCCACCATTGATTCTCCTACTTGTTCTCTGACATTCCTTACATATTTACATGTCCCCTACACCCTAGTTGAAGACTTTGAAGGCAACGACATTGATGAGGATGGGAGAGAAGGGGGCAACCATAATGGTTGCAGGCTAAGCACTCTCCTAGCCTGCCAAGCCATAAAAAATCACTTCTTATTGAGAGGAGGTCTGCACACACATGCTAGGGAAGCCTTATAGACGAGAATGCATCAAGTCTTCACCATATATTCAACATTCCAGTCACATTTGGAGGGTGGCTACCTAAGCTTAGAAAATCCAAGGAAGAAGAAGATGAATAATGTAATAGGAATTTATGTTTTTGCATTTTCCTTTCCATTTCAGTTGTAGTAAACTTTAAGTATCTTGTAATCTTTATTTCTTGCACTTTAATCTTAGCTATTTCAAGTTCATTGCAAGTTTAGTTGTGTAACTTAGAATCTACCATTGTTGTATGAGTTTTTTCACTTCAAGTTTTTCTTAAAATGGGTATTGCATATTTTCTTCTTAGTTTAAGTTTTCTTTCATTAAGTTGAGCTTAATCTTCATGTCAATATTATGTCTCTTTAAATTATGCATTTTCTCCTTACTTTAATGAGTAGCTAGATTTTAAGTTGGCTAATCCAAGGGAGACTTCCTCTTGGGCATGTCATTTCAACTCATTTTCTTTCCTCCTCTCGATGTACGATGGTTCGGTTTGATTGGGTTGAGAGTGGATGTGGTTGTAAGTCTTTGATATTCCATAGGCCTAGTCACGATTTATGCTTGGATCCTCACCATCTCGTCCCTAGCTTCCTACAAATCAGTCGTTCATCTATGCACCATTGGAGGAAGGTTTCGAGTTGAGTCGGGATTCCCATTGGAATGACCTTTTTGGATTAGTCAACACTTGTTTTCTTGCATTTTCATAAAGAAAAAAACTCACCAAAACTAACTACAAGATTTTACTCTTTTTCTTTTGTTCACAAAATCACTTTCACACACTTGAACTTTCCTTCCCTAAGGAGACGACCTTGGAATACTTTTTCAAGTAAAACAACGATACTCAAAAGACTCCTTGCGCTTGGGGAGCACTTTTGTTCACAACACACACATAGTTTGTTCATTTCATTCTATTCCATCCATCATTTCGTTGCCCCATCTCTTGCATCATTCCGAGAGAGTGTGACACTCCCTTATACATATAAGCCATAGACACATTTGAGGGTGATGTGCAGAGGTTAGGGACTACAACAAAATAGTTAAGCAGGTGGTAGAGGCTTACTAGGTGACTACTTGCGCGATAGCAGAGTTATAGCTGCAAACGTCCCACGAGAGGGCCGCAAGAGCTGAGGTCGAGCTACGTATAGTCTCGGGTGATGGCTACTGTAGTAGAGGCTTATTAGGTGACTACTTGCGAGAGAGCAGAGTCATAAACCAAGCTATGTATAGTCTCGAGAGATGGCTACCGTGGCAAAGGCTTACCAGGTGACTACTTGTGCGAGAGCAGAGTCATAGGCTCACTAGGTGACTACTTGCGCGAGAGCAGAGTCATAGGCCGAGCTACGTATAGTCTCAAGAGATGGCTGTCATGACAGAGTCTCATTCCATTGAGATGGAGATGAGGAGGGTGCTAAGGAGATAGATGACTAATATGGTGGGCGTCTGGTGTTGATTTCTCTAGTTTAGTCCCTTATGAGGCACCAACAATAGTTGATGACGGGTAGAGCCTTAATGGTGACTTTTGTCTTTTTTTCTTCCTTGTTTGGTCATGTTCTGACTTTTGTAAGTTATTTGTAAATTTTAGGAAAACAAGACAATTCTGGATACAATAATCTTTATAGAATTTTATTTTATAAAATAATAAATAACAAAATAAATTAACTAAAACAATAAAGGATAGATAAAATATTTGGTGTCGCATAGGTGGGTCGAGGCTTTCTTGGCAGAGTTTGAGTCAACTACTCCTCCTGACCCTCAGGAGATCATCTAGATCCCTTCGAGGGGTTGCTAGCATTCTTTGTCAGCCTGGTCTCGGGGCTTGTCCTCTGCCAGCAACGTACTTTCTCAATTGACCATGTTGTATAAGCTTCTCAATCTGTCTTTTAAGATCAAAGCAGTCGTCAGTATCATGGTCGTGGTCAAGGTGGAAGCTACAATACTTGTTCGGACTCCTCTGGCATGGGGCGGTCTTCATCTTTTCTGGCCAGCGTACTATTGGGTCATCCTGTATTTGGAACAAGATATGCTCCACAGAAGTATTGAGCGACGTGGAGGCTTGCTGCACTCTCAGAGGTGGGGGACCAAGACGGTCCTTGATAGAGATTCTCTCTGTCCTATTCCTCTTGTTCTCTGCTTTCAGCCTATCCTCATAGGTGTCCTTCCTCTTCTCTCCTCCTTGAAAGGACTCACCTCTACGGGCTTTGGTGATGTCCTCGGCGTTCATGTATTTTTGTGCTCTAGACAGCAGCTCGGGCATGCTGGAGGGCGACTTCTTGAGGATGGAGAACATGAAACTGGAGGTGCGAAGACCGGCGATAAAAGCGGTGAGAGAGACCTTATCATTTGGCTCTTCAATCTAGAGAGCCTCCTTGTTAAAGCAGATGAGGTAGTCTCTCAGGCTCTTATCCTTGTCCTGTTTGATGGTGAGCAAGTTGGTCACTAGTTTCTGATGTCGGCGTCCCCCAATGAAGTGGAAGATGAAGGATCTGCTCAACTCTGTGAATGAGTGAATTGATGAGGGCTTGATCTTAGCAAACCATTGGCGTTCGGATCACTTGAGGGTGGTAGGGAAGGCTCTACACATAATCTCCTCAGGCACGTTGTAGAGTTGCCTAAGGGATTTGTAGGCATCCAGGTGGTCGAGGGGGTCTTTGGTATCGTCAAAGATCTCAATGGCAAGCATCTTGAACTTTGAGGGCAAGAGATAATTGACTATATCAACAACAAAGGGTGTATCAGTACGTCTTACCAGGCAATCCACAGACTCGGGCGCCTGTACCCTAATGGCATTGAGGGCATCACCAAGTTGGTTTTGCATCTCCCTAATCTTCTCATGCCATTAATTGGGGACATCCTCGGTCAGGTGGTGGTACTTGTAAAATTAGAGTAAAATTGAACTTTTTACAAAAAGGAGCAAAACAGTATTCTTCACTCTCTCTTCTGTTTTTATGAAATGGCTTCCACGACACCCTACGGCTTAATCTCAGCACCCCAAGAAGAACGCGATACATCCACAGTCTTTAATTCGTCTTCATTATCTTCAACAGTTCGATTAGGCACTCGTGAAGCCCTTGAACACATTTGAAAACTCATCGATGTAGGAGTCATTACTCGTCTCCTCCACGGATGCATTGCTTACCAATGAGCCCTAGATCTTGAACTAGACATCATTCTCTCCCAACGCTCTGATCTCGACAAACAACTCTCCAACCTCCACAAATCCACCGAGCTCCTTGAGATCATCAAGGCCGATTCCAACCACCTGCTCTCCAACGTCCGCTTCACATGCGATCTCGCCAGTCCCACGTCAATGACACTCTTCTCCGCATCGACGCCAACGTAGAGAGAGGTAATTGCATTAATGGCGTTAAGAAAGCTCTCCAAACTGAAGATTTTGAATTGGCTGCTAAATACATCCAAACCTTCCTCCAGATCGATGCCAAATACAGAGATTCTGGTTCGAATCATAGAGAACTGTTGCTAGCATCCAAGAAACAGCTAGAAGGAATTGTCAAGAAGAGGTTATCGGCTGCTGTGGATCAGCGGGACCACCCGGCAATCCTTCGGTTCATTAGATTATACTCTCCTTTTGGTTTGGAGGAAGAAGGATTGCAAGTGTACATAAGTTATTGGAAGAAAGTAATTTCGATGAGATCTAGGCTCGAATTTGAGCAATTGGTGGAATCAATGGAGCAATAACAATCCTCTACCGCTACTACAAATCAAAATCAAGTGAACTGTGTTGCTTGTTTGACAAATTTTTTCAAAGACATTGTGTTAGCCATAGAAGTAAATAATGAGATTTTAAGGAGTAATCTATGCAGTGAAGGTGGAATTATGTATGCTATATGTGAGCTCCAAGATGCAGGGTTCCTTATTTTTAAAGAAACAAATGGAATATCGAAAATTGGCTAAGTTGACATCCGAAATTAATACTTACAAGTGTGACTTACTTTCTATTGGGGTCTAAGGACCTAACCCAAGGGAGATCGAATTGTATTTGGAAGAGATTTTGCAATTGACACAGTTGGGTGAGGACTACACTGATTATATGGTGTCCAAGATAAGGGGTTTGAGTTCAGTTGATCCGGAATTGTTTCCCCAAGCAACCAGAGCTTTTAGGAGCGGAAATTTTAGTAAAGTTGTTCAGGACATTATGGGTTATTATGTGATTTTGGAGGGGTTCTTCATGGTGGAACATGTGAGGAAGGTTATTCGCATTGATAAGCATGTACTTGACAGCCTCACAACGTCCATGGTGGATGATATGTTCTATGTTCTACAGAGTTGTTATAGGAGGTCGATATCCACTTCTAATATTAACTCAGTGATTGCAGTACTGAGCAGTGTTGTGAGTTTGTTGGGTGGCGAGTATAATGAAGCGTTGCAGTAGAAAATGAGGGAGCCTAACCTTAGCGCGAAGCTACTCATGGGTGGTGCTGGTGTGCAAAAGACAGGGACAGAGTTTGCGACAGCTTTAAATAACTTGGATGTCATATCGATTATGCTCTAAAACTACGACATGAGATTAAAGAACAATGTTCAGAGGTCAGTGGCAATCGTACTTCTCTTTTGGTTATTTCTATTCAATCCCCATCTTTCTTAAGGATTTTTTTTGTTTTGGCTCTTTGTCTGGGTAGAGCTTTACATTCAAAGTTTCATTTCTTAAAGGAGTATACTAAAATTGCTAGTTCATACATAACACAATGTGGTCTTGGCTTGCTTCTCTTTCCATATACAAATTTTATTTAATGGAACATAGACCTCTCTTATTTCTGGTAATATTTTCGGGACCATGTTTAGCTTGGGTACTAAATTAAGTCCCAACATTAATTTGAAAACAGTGCCACATGTTATGTTTCTGGATAGGAACTTTTAGGTGCTCAACGGCTACAATTTGAACCATGTACAACGTGATGAGGCTAAGTTCACTGAGTTAGCCCGTTTTGCCTACGATTGTGTGGCCACAGACATGGCCAAAGTGAAGAGGTTTGAGGATGGTCTGAAACTATCCATTCGGGGAAAAATTGTGGGCCTCCATCTACAAGATTTGGATTCGATGGTCGAGACTGCAATGGCAATTGAACGAGAGGTGGACGATGCAAGGAACATTCGGGAGACTAGAAATAAGGATAGGAGGAAGGAGGGCCAATCCTCTTCCTCTAGTTCAGGAAAGAGGCAGAGGACTTCTACTCCCCAAGGACATCAAGGACAAGGCCGCGGCTACCAAGGCCATGGCCAAGGTCAATCCTCCCAAGGCGGGAGACACTTCAAGGCTTCTAGCCAAGCAGGCTCACCAGCATGTTTCTATTGCCACCAACTAGGGCATATGAAGCGGGATTTTCCTTAGAGGCAAGGATCCCAAAGCTATGGGACATCTCAGTCCTAATCATCAGTGAGGCAGCCACAGACACACTATGTTCCTCCCTACCCCACCATAGGCTAGGGAAGCCAGTTCTAATTCCAGGAAGCTACTCAGGCCCCTACCATATCATGAGTAGGGACTTCGCAATCAGGCCAGATGGGCCAGGGCATGGGTCGAGGCCGAGGACAGGGTATGTAGGCCGAGACTTTGGGGACCCACAGGCGTGTCTATGCCATCATACCTCAAATTAAGCCAGTGGATCAGTCTATTATCCAGGGTACATTTCTTCTCCCTCGCTTATGGGCTAGGGTATTATTTGACTCTAGTGCATCACATTCTTTCATTTATGCATCTTGCGTGAGAGATTTGGGCTTAGAGGTTGAGACTTTGGAGGAGCCAGTATACGTGAGTTCTCCCTTAGGAGCTAGGGTGAGTGTTGATCAGATATGTCAGGGTTGTGAGTTAGAGATCTCAGAGATTCTACTCATTGTAGACCTTAGAGTCAACGAAATATCAGAATTTGATGCCATCATTGGGATGGACTGGTTGACGGCACACCGAGTTGTCGTTGATTGTGATTGGAAGAGGGTCACTGCTTATATGCCTAATAGTGTTTGTTTCAAGTTTCAGGGGGAAAAGCACGATGTCTTACCCTAACTCGTGTACGACTTTAGATGGCATAGGCAGTTGATGGGTTGGCTTGCGAGCCTTATCTTGGAGGATAAGGTGAGATAGGAGTTGCGTCTACCTCGGGTTTTTTGTGAGTATGAGGATATTTTACCAGACGAGCTACCAGGATTACTTCCCTATAGGGATGTGGACTTTAGCATTTAGTTATATCCTGGCACTTCTCCTATTTCTTTGACTCCGCATAGAATGACACCTGCCAATTTGTAAGAACTCAAAGTCCAAGTGCAAGAATTATTGGACAAGGGTTTTATCAGACCAAGCACTTCACCTTGGGGTGCTCCGGTATTGTTTACCAAGAAGAAAGATAAGACTCTTCGGCTCAGCAGTTGAATCAAGTTACTATCAAGAATAGGTACCCTTTGCTGAGGATTGACGATTTTTTTGATTAGCTGAGAGGAGCGTGGGTCTAGTCCAAGATAGATCTCTGCACGGGCTACCATCATTCAAGGATTAGGTAGGCAAACATCCCTATGAAAGCATTCAGAATGCGGTACGGGCATTTCTAGTTCACAATGATGCCATTCAGATTGACGAATGCCCCGACGGCATTCATGGGTCTCATGCATAGGGTGTTCCAACCCTATTTAGATTAGTTCGCCATGGTGTTTGTAGACGATATCCTAATCTACTCCAAGTCTGAGGAGGAGAATGAGGGCACTTGAGGATTGTTCTACAGACCTTGAGGGACCATCAGTTGTACGCCAAATTCGGCAAATGCAAATTTTGGCTTACGGACGTGAAGTTTTTGGGACATGTGGTGTCGGCTTCGGGGTATCTGTGGACCCGGAGAAGGTTGAAGCGGTAATGAATTGGGAGAGACTAAAGTCAATCTTTGAGATACGTAGTTTTTTAGGATTAGCAGGGTATTATAGGAGGTTCATCTTGTATTTCTCTCGATTAGCTACCCCTATGACGAGATTGACCCGAAAAGAGATTAAGTTTGAGTGAAATGATTCATGTGAAAAGGCATTCCAGGAGTTAAAGAGGAGGCTAACTTCGGCTCCTATTTTGATAATCAAGAGAGAGGACAAATGTACACAATATATTGTGATGCCTCTAAAAATGGACTTGGTTGTGTTTTGATGCAATCTGGGAAGGTAGTGGCTTTTGGTTCTTGAAAATTAAATAAACCACGAGCAGAATTACCCCACACACGACATGGAGTTGGCAGTCATTGTCTTTGCTTTGAAGGGTTGGCGCCACTATTTGTATGGTGAGAATTTTGAGGTGTTTCCGAACCACAAAGTCTGAAGTATATCTTTACTCAGTAGGACCTCAACATGAGGTAGCGCAAGTGGATGGAGTACTTGAAAGATTACGACTTCACTTTGTATTACCGTCCCAGTAAGGTGAACGTGGTGGCTGATGCACTCAGCCTGAAGTCACGGGGAATCTTGTCTAGTGTGGCTTTTCCCGGGAGTGGCTGATGCTGGAGACTGTGGGATAATTCAGGCTACACTATAGAGGTCAGACACAGGGCATTTTGGGGAGCTTAGTGGCGACGCCTTCCCTACTGAGCAGGGTGATTGAATCCCAAAGGTGGGACATTGAGTTATCATCCATCAAGGACCGAGTACAAGTTGGTACAGGTGATGAGGGCTAGGCCATTAATATAGATGGAAGTCTTCGGTATACGGGAAGGGTTATGGTTCTCCAATCTGCAGATCTAAGAGAGGAGATCCTGAGCGAGTTCCATTGCTCCCATTTTACGGTTCATCCAGGTGGCATGAAGATGTATCATAATCTTCATCGTTGGTATTATTGGAGTGGAATGAAGAGGCAGGTTGGCGACTTCGTCAGTAGATGTCTCACATGTCAATAGGTTAAGACTGAACACCAGAGACCAGCAGGTTTACTCCAACCATTGGAGGTGGCTGAGTAGAAGTGGGAGCACGTCACGATAGATTTTGTGACACACTTGCCACGGATATCACAGGGACATGATGTAGTGTGGGTGATAGTGGACCGACTGGAGCAGTTCTATAGGTTATATATATGAGAGATAGTTCGGTTGCATGAGGTGCCCGTATCTATAGTATTAGATTGGGACCCCAGGTTTACAGCTTACTTTTAGGAGAGCTTCCAGCGAGCCATAGGGACACAGTTGACGATGAGTATGACTTTTCATCCCCAGACAGACGGTCAATCAGAGAAGACTATCCATATTCTAGAGGACATGCTACGAGCATGTGTCCTAGACCTCAAAGGGAGCTAGGAAGAGCATTTACTCTTAGTGGAATTTGCCTACAATAATATTTATTAGGCGAGCATACAAATGGTACCCTATGAGGCACTATATGGGAGGCCTTGTCGTTCTCCGATGTGTTGGACGGAGGTTGGAGAGAGATCTTCTACGGGTCCAAATTTGATTAGAGACACCTCGAAAAAGGTAGACTTGATACGAAAGCGTCTTCTTACGGCTTAGAGCCAGCAGAACAGTTATGCCAACAGACGACGGCGATCTCTAGAGTTTTGAGGTGGGAGATCATGTCTTCTTGAAGGTGATGCCTAAGAGAGGAGTGGTCAGGTTCAAGAAGTAGGAAAAGTTGTCGCCGAGGTTTATCGGGCCCTTCGAGGTACTTGATAGGGTGGGTACAGTGGCTTACAGGTTGGCATTATCGACAAATTTATCAGGTGTTCATGCAGTGTTCCATGTCTCTATGCTTTGAAAGTATACTCCGGATCCGACGCATGTAGTGGATTGGGATGAGTTGATTGTTGATGCGCATGGGACCTTTGAGGAAGGACCAGTGCATATCATGGATAGCCAGGAGCAGGTTTTACAAGGCAAGACCGTGAGGCTTATGAAGGTGTTGTGGCAGCACTGAGGTGTGGAGGAGGCGAAATAGGAGTGTGAGGATACCATACGTACCAATTATATGTTCTTGTTTAAAGATGGAGGTACATGTTTACAATTTTAAATAGAGTATTACTGTTGCATATGCATATCATTATCTGTGCATGTATGTTTGAATTTTGGGGACAAAATTCTTTTAAAGAGAAAAAATGTAAACCCGGGTAAATTTGAACTTTTTACAAAAAGGGACAAAACTATAATTTATCACTACAGTTCGGGTTGAAAACCTAAATTTTTCTAGATCTCGGGTGATAAAATGGACCTCACCGTTGGATTATTCTCGCAAAATCTAGCTACCACGTCAATTTTCGTCGAATTCTGAATAGTCGAATTTCTTGCATTTTACAAGGTGATCGGGCCTTGGGTGATCCAAAGATGAAATTTTGAAAAAAATTTTGAAAGTTGAAAAATAAATTAAGGCAAGTTAAAATAAAAATATTTTGAACATGAATCGAGACGAAATTTAATCATTTCGGGACGA